GAGATTCGAAGGTCGGTTCTACCAGAAGACGAATCTCTTAACCAAACACTTCTACTCGAAATGAAAGTAAGCCCAACAATTATGAAACAATCATGTTAACTTCCAGCATCGGACAGTGCACTTGGTACAACTCAGACGTCTAAATGGCATCTCCATCCTCAGCACAATGTTGCTATTATCACCGAATATCTTGACGATGTTGGCGAAGCGTCTGAGAATGATAGCAAATCATGACCAATCGGGCAGATACCTTGTTCCGCAAGGCATCTTTCTGGGTCCGATCGCGTTGCGAAAACGAGATCGACTCGACATGAAACTCTTGAATAAATGCATACCAATGGGCTGACTTACATGACCCAGAACTGCAGGAGAATGAGACCGCATCGCCGGGAATCCGCGAAGACTCTTCGAGGACTGTCGGCAGACCGTTGAACAGCATCTCGGCGCGAATTTCGCCAACACCGTCAATCGCCAAATCCTCTCGTCCAGAGTGCACCAACCGGCAGGCAGATCCGTTCTCGTAGACCGCCCCACGGGCCTCGCGGCTGTCCTCGTCACTCTCGCCGGCCTCCAGACTCTTCGGTCTCCCGGGGCCGGTCTCCTCGTCGTCGAGAGCCTCGGCCGAGTCGCTTCTGCTGCCGGGCCGGCGGGGACTGTCTCCAGGCGGTCCGGCCTCCGAGTCCCTGTCGCTCGACACGCCGGCAGACACCTCGGCCAACAGTTCGCCGTCCGACCGAGCCCGAAAGACCGTCGGCCCCGCGACGGCCGGTTGCGCCGACTGAAGAGGATAGGCCCAAGGGCGGGACAGACGTGGTCCGGCGAAGGGATAGGACTGGCTCGAGTCCGGCAGCGCGGGACTCGAGCCTCGGTCCTGGCAGGCCGGGCTCGAGACGGTGCGCATGCAGCCGGCCGGTGGTACAAGCAGCGAGGACGTGACTGAGGCGAGCTGCGGCTCCATTCACGGCCTCCGGCTGGAAGACAAACGTGCGACAGACGAGATGAAGCGGAGTCACTCGCAAAAGCTCCGAGCGAAGGATCCAAGGCTCGATTCCCAACTCAGAGATTTTGCTGCGTCGGTGCCAATGACCAAAGCCTATCGGCGGTCGAATGAACTATCGCCGCAAACGCGTCTTGGTGTTCGACACCCGAAAAACTGTGATCTTGCCACAAATCTTCATTATCCCACACTTTTTTATAGCCCTGCCTAAAGTTGTGATTGTTGAGTCGGGTGATTGGCTCAGAAATGCACAATTGTGTGATTGTGCGTGTGTGTATGTGCCTGTGAGTCTTTCAGTAATTGGCAGAGCGAAGTTTATTTTCAAAACTTTTGCGGAAATGTGGACAAAACATGCCGGTTATGGGTGCGCCCAATCCTAGGCCGGCCAGAGCACACGATTGTGGGGGCTAGTGCCTACATGAGGCGGTTCTGTGGCCGCAAAGACCTGAAAGTTTGGCATCCTTGCCCCATGGTCCATGTGATAATTGAGTATTTAACAAGGCATTCCAGCAGGCCCGGAGAAAAAGGTCAATTTCATGGCGCAGCTGTACCAAATGGCAATTATGGACGATCAAAAATGCGTGTAGAACGGAAGGGTGAATTGGCCACATTGAAACGGTTGTCTCGCAAAAGAGTTTCTCATCCTTTCTGGACTTCAGGTTCCACTTCGTCTGGGTCTCGTCAATGCCACCAATTCAATTCCATCTGTTGTGTATATTGTAGGAAATTCAATTACTTTAGGAAAGCTAAAATGACCCAAGATTTTAGGCTAGCTCCGAACCCGATAGTTAAGGTGCCCATTTCGATAGTAAATACAAATATTTGTTTAATTGTGATTTTGGAAGATTCTCTGATCAATTGGCACTCGTTGCTGTCCGGTGGAGTGGCAAGGTTGTCGCTGAATGTGTATGAACCTGTCTCGAATCCTGACAGGGTGATAATGAAGTAGAGA